GAGTTTGAGTTCTAAATTTCTTGTGTGTATAATGTGTATATTGTAATATTTGTATAATCATGATCCTAAAAAATTAATAGTGTTTTCATTTATTCTTCAGCATGACTCGAACGATCAACTTATTGCGGTTCATGATGGAAGGTGTTCAATTAAGACCGAGCAAGCCAAATGAATAATTATTTGATTAATATAGTTGCGTGTACAATGACAAGAGAAAACACAAGGTTGGGGCCGGGTGTGTGTTTAAATAATTTATAGTTGAATACTAAAATACAAGAGAATATTAATTATTTTAAAAATGAGTCCTAACAAAATATGATTTGAAATCGACAACATTGTGAATTAGATTCATTATTCCTAAGCCTCATAACCCCATTTGATGTCATATGAGTAGTGGAGTAACACCTAATAATACCAAAATATTAATTCATATCAAAGATTTTAAATGTATTTTTATAACAAAGATTAATTGACAACTTAACAAAAATGGTTATACTAACATATATGATATAATGTTTTAAACTACACTAATAATGTTAAAACATTATATTCAGTCTAGATACTTTTGGTTTTTATATATAGTCACATTAAAGCACCATTCTATTAACTAAAATATGTACTCCAAGAAATATGTTATACTTATCCTTCGGGGTGACCAGTGGTTTGGACTTGGGACTTCCATGTTGGAGGTCACAAGTTCGAAACCCCTTGCCAACAAAAGTAAAGGGTTTGCCTTCTGGATCAAGCTCGTTGCATCGGGATTGCCTAGTGCGGGTTACCTCTCCTATGTGGTTTGCGAGCTATTGCATATGAGCGGGGGTTTTACCTTGTCTGCACCCAAAGGGTAGCGGCTGCGAGTTTCCCTTGTCATCGAAAAAAAGAGAGAAATATGTTATACTTGGAATATTTTAGAAGTGTATTACATAAAATAAAAGTAAAACCAGAATTCCTCCACTACGGATGGACCGCTCTAAAGAGCAAAGACTTGATTCAATATTTACAGTTGCTATAGGTTAGGGCTTCTATTGTGCTATTCTATTTCTATAGAGAGGTAGGGGCAAATACAAGGGATCTCTCTCGCTATGGATAGTTGTTGTTTGCGAGAAGCGTCTGTTCCGCTTTATCCTTTCAATAATTATATTGAATAAAGACAAATTGATCCATTGGTATTTCGACGCTCGATCTCTACTTCTCAAAAGTTCACTCACAATCTATGGCTCACTTAGGGCTAGAAAGATAGGATTCTTCATACAAAGCCAACCGGAAACCTTCTTTCCAAACTAGCTCGACACACAAAAGAAAAGACGAAAGACGAGAATCAGCGCAAGGATCAAAACACTTAATAGACATAGAAGAGTAAAAGAAATGCTTCCTAGCCTACCGAAAACTTGGTTGAAGCTAGTTAGGTCCTTCGGTTAGTCAAGTGTTGACACCGGATTAGGTTTGACCTTCCTTCTGATCAATGTTCGGATGAACATGCAATTCTTTTCTCTACAGTATAATAGAGTATGGTAGACTTATAACCAATCCAATCGAAAATTTTAATTCGAGAGATCAAACTAGCAAGGATAATATTGTAAAGTCGGAGAGGAAGAAGAAAACACATGTGTAGTTAAATTGTGAAATGATTTGATAATTATATTCTAGAATATTCTGAATATTCACAAGCAAATTAAAGATAAAAAATGCACATTTCTAATAATTAAAACAAACATCCTTAGTGTAAGATATCCCAAAGAGTAAAATTAGAATTTACCACTAATTAAGGGATCAAAGCTACTCACCCTTATATCTAAAATCCTTCTTAAAAATAATATTCCCTTCGTCGTATTTTTATCTCAAAATCGTTGTCACTTTAGAAATTTAAGATTAAAATTAACAATATATTGTTTTCAGCTATACTCTTTAGATTAAAAAAGTATTTCTTGTTAATATTGTCCAATTCTCAAAAACATATACTACTAAATAAGAATAACTTAGTAAATTATACCTTATCGAAGTATTTATTGTTATTTCTTAATGAACTTTGAAGAAGTAATTAAAAAAACACCTATTAAAATAGGAGTGAAGAAAAACTATACCTTATATGAGTAGTGTACTATGTTTCATTGATCATTCCAATAGTGCTAGTGACATTTGGAAATTAAATTAAAGGATGTACATCCATTTTCCAATTTTTTGAGGCATAGGTCATATGCAAGGAATTCATGAACTTATATATAACTTTCCATTATTAGAGTTGTGACAGTTACATGGATATTAGATTCCTTATGTTATACATTAATTAATGTTTTCCAAATTGAGATAAATTTGTATGCATGTAATACATGAATGTCCCTCACTAGCTAGCTAGTAGCACTATACATATAGAGTACTTTAAAGTTTTAATGATCAGTTTCAAACAAACAATAATAATGGTGCATATATGGTATTCATAATTACAAATGAACAAATCAAATACTTGTGTTGGTGTGTTTTTATAATATCTGGGACTGTACTGTTTTAGAATAATAATAATAATAATGAAGTTTGATGAACAATTATATGTTTTCATTGATGAAAGCAGTTTTCTATTGATGTATATAGGTCTCTTTCGGCCAAATAAAGTTGGCCAAACTCCATGCGTTGCTTCCTTGTTTTTATTTGGATAAAGGTTGTCCCACTGTTTTTCTCATTATTGATTATTACTCCCTCCATTTCACAAAGAATGATCTGGTTTGACTTGGCACGGAGTTTAAGTAAATAAAGAAGACTTTTGAATCTTGTGGTCCTAAATTAAAGTTATGTCAAATGTATAAAATTGCTCTTAATCTTGTGGTCTTAAACATGTCACGTGGAAAGCAAAAAGTAAAATGTTACCAAAAAAGGAAAGAGGTCATTCTTTTTGAAACTGACTAAAAAGGAAAGGAGGTCATTCTTTGTGAAACGGAGGGAGTAGTACTTATGTTATGTTGCTTTTTTTTCTTTTCAAGGTACACTTTCTCGTTTCAAATAAGTGTCGCCTTAACAAAAATCACATTCATTAGAAAATTAATAAATATAATATGTAGTTTACTGTAGTGTTCTTATTTAATAAATGTCTCTTGAAAACTGATATATGAATATATAGTTGGTAGAGCAAACATATTGGGCAGCAACAAACTTATCATATGTACCCTCCAAATTAACTACAGTAAACTACATATTATTTTGGAATTGATTTGGGGAAACCGTTAGTTTGGAGGGTACAAATGATAAGTTTATAGACGGCATGGGTAAAATTAACTTCATTTTAACGGTAGGGGTATAGTCAACCAATAAAACAAAGTTGAGGGGTATTTTTGACCCTTTTCCCAAAATTATATCCTTAATAACCATGTTTATTAACATCCTTCTTTAGTATAGGTACGGTTTGTTTTTGAAATAAATGTTTATAGTACTTGTTTTATATATAGTACCATATAGTTTAGTATTAAAAAGTCAATGAATTCATGTCATATTATTAATCCAAAACTTAGATAACCTGATCATCATTGTCAATTAGACAAATCAAGGCGTTGTATTTAAGGTTTAATTAAACCTCCTCCTCCTCTTTTGATAGGGCAAAGTCAACTTAATTATGGTTACTTATTATGACCTTTTTCTTCTCATTATAATATAGCTATGGAAGAGTTTTAAAAAAAGCTGTATTATCCTTACTTTGATGAAAAACTAAAATGAAAGCAAACACTTGAATGAAGTAAAATACTATAATAACGAGCAGAAATGAAATAAGGACTAATAAGGTGCTAATTACATAAAAATTAGGCCATTTTTCAGTTTGTAATCGAAATCATATTATATGCTAATTAATATAACGCAGTAGCAGCACTCTACCCCGATTGTAGTTGTACTTAAATGGTACTTACTGTTTTTTTCCTCGCAATAAATTATCAGCCCGTTCACTTTTACTTGTCTATTGTATTATATATAAATGCGTCATTTAACTTGACTTCAACTTGTATTTATTCCCTTCAAGTCTCCAACTTTAGATATGCACAAATAGTTACTTAAAGTAGTATAAAATTGAACAAGTAGACAACAACTTATGCGACATCCTGCGTGGTGTCCTAGGTGTATTATGCCATATCACGTGTGTGTTTACTTATTCAATTTATACAAATTTAAGTGTCTATTGTGCACATCCAAAGTTAGATGTCATAGATATCAATTGAGTCGAAGTTAAAAGGCATGTTAATGTATTAAATGTTTTACTTTCCACATTAATTACCTTATTTTTCAACACAGACTGAACATCAATTAATATGAGTACTTATATCCATCATTATTTTTAATTTAAAAGATGTACGAAATTTAAAATGGACAAATAAAAGTGAACCGTGGGAGTGGAAGTACTCATCCACCGTTCACTACTACTGATATGTATTTGGAAGTTCCAAAAAGACACGCTAAATTAATTGCAACATCATGCTTTTACTAAAACCTGATTTTGCAAGTTCAAATTTAAAGAAACAATATATACATGCATGAGATCAACAGTTTGAATCTTTGAATTAGGAATATTTATGTAACTGATATGACAAATATGCGTAATATATGTTCATTCATTAAAACAGTATCCTTTAACAGAGATTTCAGATCATTTACTTAATTGGTCGATTATAGTATGAAATAACTTTGAAAATTGAAGGTAAAATTAGTATAACTTTGAATTTTTTTTAAAAACATAAGAGAATTCCAAAAAGGGTCAAAACGAAAGAAGACAAGAACATATACTGTATATATATGGTGGCCAAAAGGGCAGAAAACGTGGGAATATATAAACAAGGGAAAAAACAATTAAAGAAATATTGGATGGGGTATATATGGTTTAATTGTGTTGTGACAGACTTGTTTTCTTCATCAGTTTCCATCAAAACTCTTTCATCTATATATATATATCTATCTATCTGTATTATTATTATTATTATTGGAGTATACTATAAAATCCCCTTTGAGTATCTTTTTATTACTATAATAAGCTTATTGTAACTGTAATGCTTCCTTCCTTACATAGTACCATAGCATTAAATTCTCAATCAATAAACATTTACTACTACTTCTTTTTTCTTTCTATTAAACCCCAATTATACTCTTTCATCATCACAACACAAATTAAAGTGCAATTTCTAGTCCCCGTTTCTTTGATCCATATGTACTTGTCTCAATTCCCCAAATAAGTACTCTATACAAAAATCACTCTGAGAAAAAAAAAATGGAAGTTCAAGCCTCCAATTATAACCAAATTTCAAATGATGAACACGAAAACGACCATCTTATTCTGGATCTAAGCCTCGATCACGGCGTTAAATCCAATATCCAGACAACAGACGCATCGCGATCCGCAGGTTATAATAACGAATCGGAGCCTCGGGTTTTTTCATGTAATTATTGCCAAAGGAAATTTTACAGTTCGCAGGCGCTAGGCGGACATCAAAACGCGCATAAACGAGAGAGAACAATAGCGAAAAGAAGTCAAAAAATGTCTGCAGCAGCTTTTGGTTACGATAATAAGTATTCGAGCATGGCTTCTTTACCATTGCATGGTTCATTCAATAGATCTCTAGGAATTCAAATTCATTCAATGATCCACAAGCCTACTAGCAGTACCGCTTTCGGCGCGCCGGCCTTGTACGGACATCCTGGATGGTCAATTAGAAGGCCAATTGAGCAGCAACCGGCCATTGGCCGGCTTGCTCCAGAGAATAATTACCACGTGGCGGGTACAACATCGTCAGGTGGTGCTGCTGCTAGATTTGATAACATTATCCAAAAATTTCCTCAGGTTGATGGTATTTCACAGTACAGATGGGATAGTGGTGGTGGTCCTACTCATTCAAAGAGTACTAATAAACCAGACGAAATGAAGAAGCTTGACCTCTCTCTCAGACTCTAAATTATTAGTACTACTAGATTATTTTTTTTCTTACCGTTATTTCGTTTAGATTTATATTTTCCTTTCAAGTTTCGCACTTATGAGGTCCACTATTGTACATGTTCTTATGCCATCTGTGATGTGATTTTTCCGACATTTTAGTAAAGACCATGCTCAAATCTTGCCTTCAATGACGGACAATCCAAATATATAACTATTCATTTAATAATTGAGTTCAAATTTTACAAGCTGGAAATGCATTTTTTCACTTCCAATAAAAGTCCACAAATAAATTGATGTTGACAAGTGGACAGATAATTTAGTGCACAAAACATCCTGCGTTAACCAGCGGTAAATCTATTCAAAAAGTCCACAAATGAGAAAAAAGATCAGTACTAACTGTTTGGCTTTGGATGAGATTGATGTTTAATACGTGACAAATGCACATGCCGACAAAAGGTCGTACCGTTTGATCAATTAATAACAACTACTACTACAAATAATTTTGCAGATTCAAAGGCTGAGATTTAGTGAGCAGTTGATGAAATAGACTATCTACTGAGGGGTCATGTTCATAAGGTTGGTGGGAGGTATGTGGAAAGTATATATAAGTTGTGTAAATGACCTTTGTCCATTTTCATTAGGAAAACTTTTTTTAATTAAGGTGATGTTAAAAACAATTTTAAGTTATTCAATCACATCATTATCTTTCATATATTTTAATGCTGTAAAATCTTGATTGCATTGATTTCTTACCTAAGAAATCTTTTAAACAGGGTCACTCTATAATATGGTGGGACCAAATTTTGGCTTTATGATGGATTTTAAACTTAATAATGTCATTTTCTCAAAGTAATCCAACTCTAAGCAACAAACATGATGTGTACGCTGAAGAGAGACATTATTTGATACAAACAAACACAGTAATGAAGTGTTAAGTATTTATTCATTTTTAATATCAGAAAAACAAAAAAGAAGGAAGAGAGACATTTGGCGCGTCCAAGAGAGAAAGGCAAGGAAATTAAAAGGTGTAGGGTTGGTGGCATTACTGATTCTCCCTATGTCCCTAACTACTTATCCACTTTTTTTTTTATAGTTGTCCCTAATTACTTGTTTATTTTGACAAATTAAGAAAGGACAATTTTTTTTTACCTATTATACCCTAAATTAAATGACTAGTTATTTTTAAAAATGTAAAACTTTTCATCCACTTCATAATAATAGGGCCGTAAAATGGTAAACTCATTATGTCATTAATTATTTTTTTAATAGGTGTATCAATTTAAAAGTAGACAAGTAATTAGGGACAGAGGGAGTATTACACAGCGAAGAAAATATGTTTCTCTGGTGTTTTTATGGCACAAAAAACGACAAATAGTTGAGAAACTTAGAAATGGACAATGTGGGGACAAAATATATGTATTTTCGTTGCTTGATTGATGGTTACTTTCGTTCTTTCATTTTTCCTCAGCTAATGAAAGCAATATGTACAGCTTGGTACTTGGCAGCTTCTCAACCACCTTTTTTAAACTCTTTTCATCCAAAACATGAACATAGGTAACAAATTTAGCTCGTAAAAATATAATCCGCTGCATTCCTTTAAACTTAGTGGGTTAAAAACATTTTTCTATTAATTTAACCAAAATTCAGTTTGTTAAAAGTTTGGATTGATTTAATTTGAGCGCCTAAATTGAACAAATAATCCAGTTTAGGGATTAAATAAATTACTCTCTCCGTTTTTATTTAGTTGTTACCATTTAGGTTTCACGCTCCTTAAAAAATTAGGTAAGTTTACCATTGTATCCTTATTTAGTGTTCTTTTGATGTCAAGTTTTCAATAAATGAACATAAATTAATTTACTTTGACTAACTAATTTGACCAATGAATATAAATTATTTACTTAGTTTTTCTATGTTGATCAAATATATACTTTCAAAGGATAAAATAAGAAGAATAGTGTCATTTATGCATTGATTTTGTGAAATGACTAATACTCCCTTTGTTCCCAATTACTTGTCCACTTTTGAATTGACACACCAATTAAGAAAACAATTAATGACATAGTGAGTTTACCATTTTATCCCTATTAATTATGAAGTTGATGAAAAGTTCTACATTTTCAAAGTAATTAATCATTTAATTGAGGGTATAATAGGTAAAATTTTTTTATCCTTTCTTGATTTGTCAAAATGGACAAGTAATTAGAGACAACTATAAAAGGAAAAATGGACAAGTAATTAGGGACAGAGGAAGTATTAAAGAAAATCTATTTTTAGTAAGAACGACATAAATAGGAATGAAGGGAATAGTATAAGAGAACTAACAAATGAAATAAATTTGGCAAGTGCTTGAGTAGATGGAATTATAATCTATTGTTTAGCTCATTTTATATAATCCGGTCAACCATATTAACTTTTAAACAATACTGATTAATTGATTCAATCTATTTTAACTCGCTCAAATTCAACTCAGATGACCTATTTGCCACCTCTAAGCATGAGCAAAGAGCCATTTTTTTGATATTCCAGTTGTCAAATGAACAAACCGACTCTCCCATCCCAACTGGAGCCTATGAAAATTATAACAGACTCGTGTAATCTGATTTAGATTTGGACCAATGACTTTTCAGCCAAAATAATGGACCTACATTGTCCTCTATTAGAATTGATTTTCTAAAAAAACCTATGCATCTTTCCCATTTTGTATATATCCAACCTTGATATTTTAGTATTCTTAAGAAACTGCATTTATTAAACCCTAAATAGAGCAACACAAATCGTACTGATTCATATAATCGATCTCAACTTATCTATGTTTTGTTGAAGTAGTAACAAGCAAACTGCATCTCTACTTCCTGTTTGTGGTAGGCTTAAAAATAACTATTAATGAAATAGGAGAAACGCACTTTACTTTCCATGTGTCTTTCATGGAGAAACTGCTAGTTTATCTGTAGGTTTAAATAATCAATAAGTTGGTTGTATACACAACACAAACCAGACAATTTGGTATATATGACCCATAATATAATGCTTTACTAATTGAATAAAAAGCAACTCCCAAACATGAAGATAACGTTTAGACAATGAAAGCAACAACGATGGACAACTCAATTCCACCACTAATATAACACAACAAAAAGTTATTCCATCATATTCAAGACTCACAATTCATCATAATGCAATAGAAGTTTCCCCTTTTTCGCGGGTTTGACCATTTTAAACCATGAAATTCAACATATACAGCAAAAGTGTAGGAAATTGATGTGGGTAGGAATTAGCATACTTTCAGGAAAATAGTAGATGTCGACGACCAAATTCCATCTCAACCATTGCTGGATATAGATTAGATCATCAAGAAAGTCATATCAGGTGTTGAATCAATGAGTAGGGCCTAATCATAGTGAGTGGGACGCCGCTAAACAGTGAGAACTATCTGAAGTAGTACAATCACAACCTAACCTTTAAACAAAATTGGACATTTCCTGTATATAGCGCTTCTAAGTAGGGGTGTCAAACATGGCTGCCCGTCCAACCCACCCAAAATCTTATGAGTTCGGCACAAGATAATTTCATATTGGGTTGATTTTGCCTCAACCCAACATAACTCATTTTTGGGTTTACTGCTACAGATTTACTTTGATTTTTTCTATGGATTGGGAGTTGGGTTACAGGTCAAGGTCAGGTCGGGTCTTAGGCTGGGGTTAGGTATCGAGGCTCAGGTCTTGGAAGAAGGTAGGGTCTTGAGTTTCAAGTTTCATGGCTCGAGTCTTGGGTACAGAGTCAGGGTTGTGTCTCAGATTAGGTCTCTATTAGACTCAGGTCTTATGTCCCAAGTCAGATATGAAGTCCCGAGACTCGATGGATGGTAGGGGAGGGTGGGTATGAGCAGGGGCAGGGCTGGGATAGGGTAGGGGGAAGTGGACAATTCAAAAAAGTTAGGCTAAGTTGGGTGTGTCATGAGTCATGACCCAATCCATTTCAGGCCAAGTAACTTTTGGCTAGTTTTAGCATAACCCATTTTAACATGCTCAAATCCAATCCAACCCGCCTATTTGACACCCTAGCCATAGGTACATTTCTTAAATTCTCTGGGAATTACATTAACTAGGTTACAAATGAAAGAGGGACTCACATGTAGTAATAGAGCACAATAGTGTTTGTTTTCAATAAGAAAACTAAAAAAGAGAGAGTTGACATAGACAGAGAAATAGTTACTAATACCTACTACATTGTCTTACAAATAGGCATACAAACATGAGTGCAAGTGTCTACTTAAACAAGCATCCAAGGTCAGATGCAGACAAGTGTAATATAACATACCTAATCTTCTCAATCATGGAAAAGACAGTCTATCTGACTAGATAAATATCAGCAAAAATTATGATAGTATATCTTAATGCAACTTCAGTTAATGCTGATATCTAGCACCAATAAAAGTTAAAAGTATCTTTGGTTATACTAAGTTACTAATAGTCAGTAAAGTCGGAAGACAGCTGGAAGGAAGCACTTATCACGAAATATTTGATTGAATATGTTCAGTAACTGTGGCATAAAATGTGAACCAGTCTACACCAGGACATTTGGCATAGCAGCAAAATGGTTTTAAAAAACAAAAGGGAAGCAAAGAAAATAAGATAGTATAGCCAAATATAATTTATCTTTTCCAGGATAGTTGAGTTTTTGAAACAGTAAAAGACAATGCCCACATGAGGGACATGGTTACAATGAAAACGTCTTAAGTTGAAAGCGGAAGCTTGCTCAAAATTGAACTGACTAAATTGCTACTGAAGTAGACCACAAATACATAATATAATATTTTGCTCCTAAACACTATGACCATTACTGGAAGCTCTCTATGCACCAGCAAAATCAGTGTTTCACATAGCAATCTAAAATGTTCAAGTACAAGTATGTGGCAGAGAGGTCAAGGAAAAGGAGAAACCTATTACGCCAAATGCATTGACTTCATAGCAAAGTCAGGTGTAAACTTTGCTAAGATGCAGTGTAAACTTTGTGATTGAAGAATGTGAGATGATTTTGAACTTCATGCAATACATCAACTAGTTAGTAAATGTTATTGCCTGTCTTTTCGGTAAGGCTGATTTGTCTCTGATGTAGTAGGAAACCTTGAAAAGACATATATTAGTATGGCCAAACTTCCAATTGAGCTAAAAAGTGTTTCTTTCACATTCTAAACCTGCAAGTATAACTTTTCACAAGTAATGACATCCAGAGAATGGTCCGCAAGCAAGTCAGCAAAACAACATTCGTGGGAGAAAGGCAACCACTATCTCTATTTCTTCTCTATGAACGATTTGGACTTTTCCATCCAGCGAACAAATTCAAGTTTATCTTTGTTCTTCATGTATTGATGTAAGAATGCACAAAGTTCATCGCTTATTCCCCTTGTCTCTAGGAAATCATAAAGAGAATTCTGCAGTTCATCATCCAATTCTCTGCAAATCAATGGTAATACAAGAGTTGAGGAAATTTTGGAATGTTCAGTTTCACACATTTCCCCATGCTGAAGTTCTTAACAGCCACATAAGCAAACTCAGAAGAAATTTTGGAATGTTCAGTTTCACACATTTCCCAATCCTGAAGTTCTTAACAACCTTATAAGCAAACTCAGCAGAAAAACACTAAATAAGAAAGCTAAGCAAGCAAGATGGAGATTGGGGAATTAGATCAGAGATACATACTTAAATGGAGGGCCCACATAAGGCTGATCCACTATGCCATTTTGCCCACGCATATAAACTTTACGAATCTCAACGCTGTTTGGCCATGCAGAACAAACAAACTCGAGCACTTCATTGCCTTCTCCTTTGAGAACATTGACAATCATAGTTATGTGAAGTTGCACATCATCTGCTGCAGATACATCACTACCTTTTTGAACAGGAATAGATGCATCAAACATAGTAACTTCAACTTTAATTTCTTCATTCTCTCCAAATTTCTTGTTTAATTTAATCCATTGCTCTCCAGGCCTTTCATCAATGATAAATGAATCAAATTTTGTGATAGGCTGCAATTCAGTAATTGCAAAAATAGCATTAGAGACATTGCTGATTCACACTATTCAATGTATGAAAACATAAGCAACAGCTAGCCAAATAATAAATAACATAGTTCAAGAGTTTCTTTCTGCAACACGAATAACTTGGAATAGGTATACCATGAGTTGCGTCCATACATCAGAGAATATAGATGAAGCAGATGCAAGATAATTACTGTTAAAGTCAGTCCACATTTAAAATTTCTATTTTAGCATTTTCAAAGTTAACTACCTCAAAGCATTTTCTGTAACGTATGTAGAATTGTAGATTCTATTACAAAAGGGGTAGCTGCATGAGCAAAATTCAGACCTGATCTTTTAATGCATGGATTGTGTAATACACATTTCGTTGGGCAATTGTGTTAATTGATACACATGAATGTCTCATGTTTGCAGTGACCCCATATATTAATATGTCCCAAATGCTTCAGATCATACGATGACATTGCTTTTTTTGATAAAATCATATGATGACATTAGTTTGCTATCTAGCATATCTGATGCAAAGCTAAAGTTCAAGAATCTTCATTTATGAGTCAGAATAAATGAACATTCTCACTTTGGTTCAGAGAATCAGCCGAGCATGTCAATGGTGTGGAACATACAACTGGTTGACATATAGTTGGTGACAAAGTTCATTAATACAGTTCACTCTTCTGTTGAAGTCACCCACCTCCTCCTAGTTTTCTCACAACAAGCTGCACAACAAAAAGAACATTCCTACTCTAAGAAAGAATGAAAATCTATCAGGCCTTCCTAAATACCAGTCATACCTTCAGAAAATGGTAAAGATCATCAAACTTCAGCCTAATCCCTACATCTTCCTGACCACTCCCAGAAGCAAAAAGAGAACATGGGGTTTGACAAGGTTCATCGTTTTCTCATGGTGAAGAGGCTATAATATGGAACAGCTAATTCTAATCAGCAAACACTAATTAATTAATAAGATTCAATTGGCTGCTCAAACATTGGCAAATTACATGAAGTAACTAAAAGGAACTAATAAGCTAGGCCACCATCGTAAATTAGCTATTGTAAAATTGAATTGGCTACTCAAACATTGGCAAATGAGACTATCTGAAATAAACGAAAGGAACTAATAGTGTTTTCTTGAAATAATTCAAATCCCTCTTTAGTCCAAGCAATTACCACATACTCCAAAACATGGAAGAAACAATAAAATACAAGGAATGAGAAATTGCGTACCTGAGAGGGAGGAGAATGTTCAAGCTCGTAGCGAATCTCGTAACGGAGGAGTCTGAGAATGTTCTCTTCAAATGCTTCTCTACGCATCTCCGATATGTAATTTCTAGTAAAATTGAAGATGACTGGCTGGGGTTGCTGCTGAAGCAAAACCCTTTTGGCTATTCCTCTTAAAGGTCTAACTAATCGACGAGCCATTGCCATGGATGAATACCAAATTCCCAGAGGAAAGCGAAGGGCTTAAGGAGGGTTTAACAATCTTTAGTCTTCAACCATTTTTCCTTTTTATTTCAGTTGCTCTATTGGGCTGTACCTGGAAATGTTTCATGGCCCAATGGGTCATGTTCCTTTTATATACCCAAGTAAATGATTCTTCATCATCTTTAATTAGAGGTCTCGTGTTAGGGCGTTCTACCCAATGTTAATGGAACCCAAAAAACAAACAAATACATGCTTTTGAGGTCGCCATAAGGTCAGACATTTTTTACTGAGAAGCATGCAAAAATTTGTTTAAAAGGATTGCAACGAATACTGATTTTATGAGGAATTATATCTAAAATATATATAAACAATGTCTCAGCGTTAACAAGGTGGTGCTCGTATTTGGCTAGCAAAATTGCTCAGGAGCATTTTGATTTGGCTAAGCATTTATCAACAACAGAATGCTATTGTCAAATGTATGCTCCAAAATTAGCTTTTCCGCTTAGGAAACCTGCAACATGGCAGCAAGCAATCCTTACAAATGCTACATCTCCCAATTATCTTCTAATACACATTGATTGAAAAATAATAAAATGAAGCAGTGACTTTTCCCTATTTTGCAAAACTGTGCACTTCGGACTCTTCAAAAGACTTGACTGCGCGAAATAATATATGCTACTGATATCATTTGTTCACGTCAGGGGAGGAACCATCACTTTTTATCTGCTTTTGATCAGGCAAGACTGATTTTGCTCGAGTTTCCCCTTCACTAGAGGGATTTGTCTTTTCATGAGTGTTATGAGTCGCTGGCTTGGTTGTTGCAGGTTCTTTGACAGCATTGTCAATTGGTTTGTCTGCAACATCACCTGATTGTTTCTTGGACTCGACTACGATTTCTTTTAAGGTCTCCTCTAACTTATCTAGTCTTGCTTTCACCTCGGAAAGTTGTGGATTAGTCCCTTGTTGTTTTTCCTCCTCAGCCATCAATTCCAGTTCTTTTGCTTTTGCCTCTTCGTCAGCTTTCTTTTTCACTTCAGCTTCCTGGTTGGAATTTTTTGAACAAGATAATTAATGAAGACTAGTACTAGCAAAAGCAACTAAGTGTAAAGAATGACAAGCTCTGATATGTAAAGTCAGACACATCGGGATGTTGCAGGAGAATTCTTTGTAGTTGCCTTCATCACCAAATAAGACATGTACTAAGGGGAAAAGATAACCAATGAATAAACAATATAATTAGTAGTCCTAGACATAACACAAGAGATCAGATTTATTGAACTACTATACATATTCAAACTATAAAATCCAAAAGAAATCCAGCTGATGTTTTACCCCCTACACTAGAAACAAGTCTTATGGAACAATTACATTCCACCTCTCAAAAGTAATTTCAATTTCCACTAACCTAACTGCAATATCACTCAGACAATTAGCTGAACTGAGTTATTTTTTTAGAGATTTATTTACATCTTTCCTCTTTTGCAAAAGTTAAAACCGATTTAGCTTACAAAGAAACAATATTCACTTCTTTTTTTGAGTTTCTGCATTCTCAATCCTAGGTATCAATGAGAATTTATGTTTTTCACTTGCTTACTACAACTCCCATCAACAGCCTTGTGTTTTTATAAACACGACTCAACCATACGATTTGCAAGAAAGTTGTGTGATTACTGCTAATAAGCACTACTACTCCACACTTCTTTTCGAATCAAAAGACTCCACTAGATAAATGCCAAAATGATTTTAAACATTTCCAAAATGACTGTAAACTGCTATATTCTCATTCCTCTTAACATTCTTACCCATTTACATAAAAGTAATATTTCCTTGCACCAAAAGTATACGTGACAGAAAAGTGATCTATTTGTACTCCTATCCTATGTCATGCTCGATGTTATAGAACATTCTCTTTTTTTAATAACAGTGGTGGCAGGGCAAGCTTCCGGGTACATCGACTTTTTCACTTAGTACTTGCCACCTCCCACCAGCAAAAGTACGAGGTAACTCTGTCTTACTAAGGTTAGGCAGGTGGGAAGACATAACACCTTTGGCTGCAAATATTACAGAAAATTCTTCTATTCCTCTATTTCAAATGGTCTCCTATTCCTGATATCATAAACCACTTTGTGAGGCAAATATGCTTCAATATCATTGAATGAAATTGGCACAATGGTGTTGCTTTTAGAGCTGTTTTGCTTTCTTCCCGACTCTCTGCAATTCCCACTGGCAAATGTTTCAGCTACAGCTCTTAGTAGCACCGCACAGCATCAGCTACCTAGCAACAGAAATCTAATGACTGGTAGTAATTCTGCAGTGCAACAAAATAGTCTTTATTTCCACACTCTTCGGGCACACAATCAACTCACCAGAATCTCTCTCTCCTCCTTAAATATTAGATATTAAGATTATATTTCAATGCTGCACACTGCACACCATGTGAAGTAAGCAACCTTTTTTGGCACCATCATATTCCATATTGTCTTCCAAAACTTCACTCTACCCACTTAAGATTATCCAATGTGGTATGATTTACAGCGAACACCCTTGGGCCTGACCCCCTGCACACCATCCTATCTTCTCTCTTTTCTTCTATTTTTAATTTTTAATGTAAGTTGGTAGAACGTCTAGATTTCCTTTCACAAACAATCCTGGATAGCTTATCAAAAAACATATATTTTACATTACCTCATAAAAAAAACAATCCTGGAAGTTTTCCTCTGTTCCCCTCCACAATATTCCACTTATCTTCTGATACTTTTTGTTTTTGGTTTGGCTTTGGGACAGTGTTTTGGTATTATAATTTTGGGGGGAAACATCACTAGATCCCTAAAACAACTTTTGAATTGTTCTTTTAGTAGAATACAGTGTTAAAACCCAATTAAACATCTTATTTACTATACCAAATATATTTTCAAATTAGAAGATTGTTGAAAAATGAAACAATTTTTGGTCAGAAAAGAAGAGACGGATCATGAGTGCAAATCTGAATAGCATAGAAGTGCTTAGAGGTCACTTCACAGTTTACACACTATGGCCAAGATAGAGGCCACTCTTTTGTGGTTCAAGACCACCATTTGGATGGTCTTTTCTCTCTTATTGGTGTTGTTTTCCCATTGGTGGCATTATTTGAAATACTTGCTATAATTCGTCTGAGTACCTACATAAGTGAAAGGCAATCTATATGGAATGGTTGTAAGACCGGTGGTGTTTATATCAAGTGAATATCATCCTCAAAATGAAGGTCACATTCTTTCTCAAAAAAGAAGAAGTGAGGGTCACATGAATGAATATGTTAACATAGATGAGTGGTCATAAGATACTACAAGATTAGAAATAATCATAGATGAGTGGTCATAAGATAAGACAAGATTAGAAATGATCATGCTACAAAAGGTGCAAGTGACACATATAGATGATAACATGAGAGATGTCTTATGTAAATCTCTAGATGCATCAATCCATAGGTATAAACTGAAAAGGAGACGAGGTAAACCTAAAATTTGTCTCGGAAGAATCACACAGCCTTAGCAAACAATAACCACAACGGAAAAAAAAGATTCACCTAGGAGATACCAACTAGATGAGATTAAGCTTAGTTTTGCTACTACACTCACATTAATCCAATATTTCCTAGGAATCTTTTTAATCTCATCAGGGATTTATATGTCAATAGAAAAAGTAGAGAAAATCTAAGAGTAAAGAACCTAATATATTGAATATTCGAATGAGAGATCTAAATGGATGAGATGGATAGTGAGGATTCATATAGTCAATCCAACGGGCTTGGGATTTGAGGCGTAGTTGTTGTTGTCGTTGGTGTTGTTTTCCAACTGGAATCTTGGTCTCTTGTTTATATTTGGAAATAATAAAATTGATTATGTTCTTGGAAAGGAACACCATATCTCGTTTGAGAACCTACTAAGAAAGAGATACTGGAGATTTAAACCAAGAATGTACTGATGTAGTTCAACCAGAAGGGAAGAATGTTGATGATTTCAACCCATAACTTCTCTGAAAGAATTTACATACAAAAAGAAATTTTGGGGATAAATGGTGTTGAGGATGAAAAACTTCTTGTATCCCATGATGAACATCAAATATAGGGCTGACTGCATATTAAATGCAACAGCATTAAATGTTTTTTTTTGTACATGTTGAAAAGTAACTTGATGCCTTTCATCTAAAATTCACTCCTTCATGCCAAATACTAGACAGAACATGCAGCCTCTTTTTGCAGGAAAGCACAAGTATCCCATGAATATGATTTATCTAAAGAAACAATATTCAAGTACACCGTGAATATGTAAGTTGTGGTACATAAATTATAATTTTGATCAAACGAAGATATTCTGTGAAAGAAAAATGGCATCAATAAATGAAAATCTATAACTGGTTAATAGCCACAAATATTTGAAGATGACCCAAAAAAAAAAAATCAAAGAAGGAGAAGTTTCCATTACCGCCTCCATTCTTCGAATTTCATAGCGAGCATACTGAGCCACCAAATAAACAGCTGTACAACAAAGATTGTTTCAGACAGAAGCGCCAGAGGGAAAGTACTTCAAAGATGAAATAACATGTAATAACAAAGATAGTAGAGGTACCAAGTGAAGGCAAGCAAGCAAAGAAGAACTGTACCAGATGAAAATCAAGCCTGCTCATGGAAGAAGAGTAGAAAAGATGTCAATCAACTGAAATAAGGAGGGAAGTACCACCCCAAAGAAGATGAAAAATTTACAATATTCATGATAATGCAACTTAAAGCTTGAAGAGAGGAGGCGTGTCAACTTTGAGGGGATCAAAATATAATTGAAATGTGTAAGAGAACATAAGAGAAATCAAACTTGACATTCAAATCTTTTTGGTGACATTATACCTCAAAACATATGTCATCATCTGCAACCCAGCAATAATGAAAATAAATACTAAATAAATTATTTTAACATAGAACTTAGTGAAATACGATGTAGGTTACAACCTGTCAAGGGAATGGATCCCTCAATCTTGGTTCTCTAGGGAAATGGGAATAAGCATGTTGAAATTTGGTCACAAATTCACAGTAGACAAATAGGTTCAAACAGAACGGAAGTATCATATAAGCATTCTTTAGCACATTTATCAAAAACATGCAACAAGG